CTTATTCTCCTTCGTCCACCACTACCATCACAGAGGGGTCTTACCAGACACTCTCAGTGTGCTATACATCTTATTGCATTCTCACTTGTGTGATCGCGCCTCTAGCCTCGCCAGTAAGTCTTGCTCTGCGACCAGCTACTAGGCCTCGTCAGCAGGCACGTCATACTGCCACTGCTCGTAGCTGTCAGCACTTAGCCAGGGGGCCCTCAAGGGGACCCTATTTTGGTTGTCTATCTTTGTCATCAGCGTGCCGTGACATTAGAATAAGACTGACCTTTACGCCCCTACCAAGTGTCTAACACTGGTAGCCACGCATTTTCACCCAGAGATACATCTGCCCAGGGCAGGGCTTTTTCCACACCACTTCCTTCATATCATTCCACTTCACCTCTACCACCTAAGCCGCTTCCTTCCTTTAAAAAAAACAGCGCTGCATCGACCGGTAAAGCGCCTCAAGTACACAATGGGATCGTTCTGCCCAACGGACGCTACCATCCCTATCAGAGAAAACCCAGAGTCCACCGTCTGACTCAGGGCAATCTCGTTCAGGTGCAGCCCCCCCAAGCTAGCTCACAAGGCATTACAGCTGAGCATCACCGACAGGAGCGCAAGGTTAGCCTCTGGCTTGAAGACATACCAAAGGAGACGCTTACCCTGTCCATTCCACTTCAACCCCCTCATCTCTACGCTACGTTCCCTGCCATCGACGTCCTCAATTTCGCACTCTCAAAGAGCTACCATCCTCATGGGATCCACAAGAATCCCAAAGGCACTCTCCCCGAGAACATCGCATCGACCATATACGCTACCATTCAGCGATACAAAGTCTTGCAGCAGCCTCACATCGTGGCCAAGTTCACAGAGGAGCAGTTAAAGTGCCGAGATAGAATTCTTCGACATCTATCAGTAATAAACGAGCGCATCGGAGCCGGGCACGATTTCACGTTCGTCGATAGACGCATCGCTATCAAGCTTTGCATGGGACTAGGAAAGATTTCCTTCAAGGGAATCAATAAGGAGCAAGCACGCGTAGGCAAGGAGATAGTGAAGTTTGAGAAGGAGTCGTGCTACTGGCCCTATTAGGATCAGTAATATTTTTGTACTACCGTATCACCACGAATAGTTGTATGCCCCGATATCAAATCACTTTCGTATACCAAAACTACGTCGTGGATTTCTATCGCCCGGCGCAGGGACAACTCACAGTCATCTGCACTGCATAATTCATCTATCAACCTCTCGTCACCAACTGGCAGCAAGTACTCTACCACTACACGGTACAAGTACATGCCTACACCACCTACTCAGCACCATTCCATCTCATTCCAGACTTTGAGGAAGAACGAGAGTACTGGCATTACTGAGCAGAACCTCTACGAGAGGAGCTAGAAGAAGAAGGACTTATCGAGGAAGACCCCGAAGCCCCTTTCTAAAAAAACATCACCAAGCCTAAGACCAAGGATTGATCGACTCACACACTGTCCGTCACATCATTCTCACTATCATTGACATCAATCCCAATGTCTCAATACAACCTTGGTGGTGTTGCGTTCCCTGGAGGAAGCACCCAGAGTGAGCCTGTGGACCCCTGGAGGAGTCAGGCCACTTCTGTATCATCTGAAACAGGACCAGCTGCCCCTGCGGAAGAACCACATAACAGCAGCACACCCAAGGCATCGGGAGTAGCCAGAAACCTGTCACCTACCACCCTGCCAGCATTCTCCACACCTCAGACTTGGGAATGGCAGGGAGTCCCTTACGCAACCATCGAGGAAGCCGCCAATGCCGCCGCACCCAACACCATCCCAAACGACATTAAGGAATGGGTAATGAACGTGGTGCGATCATTCATCATGAGAGACGTTGTAAGCTCGTACGAAGCCTTACGTCAAAAGATGGATGAGCGCCACGAGCGCACGGTGGCCTCGTTGGAAGATGAAGTAATGGCTCGTATCCACGTCGAAATAATGGCAGTGGAAATACGAGACCAGCTAAAGGTCGTAAGAGCTCAGATCGGCACCCTCTCCGCCGACAATGAACGGCTCATCAAATCGAACAATAGTCTGACACTCGAAGCCCAAGCAATCCGCAAGGACTTCGAAGATTACAAAAATGAAGTAAAGGGTCAGATGGACGCCCTTTACGGCAACATGGTCGCCCTGAAGGAGGCTCAGGAAAAGACCACTACTTACATCATTGGCTTGGAGTCTCGACTCAACAACACCATCATCAATGCGCCCTCCACAGGTATCCAACAACCGGCCGGCCAATCCAGTCAATCACCTCGCCGAATTAAGCTCCCCGATCCTCCCAAGTATTCGGGAAGGAAGTCATCGGAAAACTTTGAAACTTGGTTCACGAACCTGCTCATCTGGCTCGATTATAACCATTTTGTGGATGACAAGGACAAAACTCAGCAAGCCAACGTGCATCTGGAAGGCGGAGCTGCTCTATACATGAAAGAGTACGCAATCAAGCTTGCCTCCGGACAAGACGTTGGTACATGGACAGAATACACCAGGAAACTGGAAATGGCATACAAGACACTTGACCCCAAGCGCACGGCACAATCTTTGCTAGACGCACACTGCGCAATCTGCCACAAGACGATGATTGCCTTCGTGGAGAATTTCAGGGCCTACGCCCCCGAATCAGGATACTTTGACGAAGATCTAATCATCAAAATCAGGGAACAATGGTCAAGCCACATTCAAACGGTCATGTCGGTAACAGAGACTCTGGACCCCTCGAAGATTCCAACCACCTGGATGGACTATCTCGAGTTCTGCTTGGAGATCGAAATTAAACATCTCCAAAAAATTTCAGGCAACAAGTCTACTGGACAGACTGTGACGACCAAGGCAGCCGCCCCCAAGGACCCTAATGCAATGGACACAAGTGCACGAATCACACATGAACTATCCCCGGAACAGGACAGATGGCTGGCAAACAAACTATGTTTGTTCTGCTGAAAGCACGCCTATGAACGAGGAAAGCGGTGCCCCTCCCCCAAGCCAGAATACAAGGGCAAGCAGTTTCAGACATGATCTGCCCCGAAGCAAGGGCAAGAAAAAGGGAAGGGCAAAGCGACGAACATGCGACAGGTGGAAGAAGAAAGTAGTGCGGGCTCATCAGCTCAAATTGCAGCACTGGAACAAGCAATTGCTGCACTTCGTGGGATGAGCACAATGTCGACTACACCACCATCCAGCAAGGGCAAAGGCAAGGTGAAGAGCGCAGACACGGAGTCAACTATGTCGGTATCAATGGTTAAGGACACCAATGCAAGAATTGTCGAGATAGACGATTTCTCAGAGGATTTTCAGTATGAAGTGTAGACAAGTCTGGTGTCACACTTCAGGACAATTGTATTAGTACCGTGAGAATGAATGTACCTAGTGACCATCTATATATTGCATCCGTGGGTTTTTCTAAACATTCGATCGAATTGCCAATAAGATTCATCTCACGGAAAATCCAGACAACGGCACTATTGGATTCGGGAGCCTTCTCTTGCTATATCGACCAAAGATTCACTGAGAAGCACGGGTTTAAGATGATACCTCTAAGCCATGAAATCCGAATCCTCAACGCAGACGCCAGTCCCAACAAGGGTGGCGCAATTACTCATCGTGTAGTCACAAGCATCTTAATCGGGGGGCACCGATCAACCGAGAGTTTGCTCGTCACAAACCTTGGATGCATGTCAATGATCCTCGGCATGAAGTTCTTACAAGAACATAACCCCCGAGTTGACTGGGAACATAGAGAGGTCACGTTCTCAAGATGCAGACATACGAGGAAGCAACGAGTCAAAGTATGCGAAGAAGAAGTCAACCTTCTATCACAACCTCGGCTCGAAGATGAAGCGATTCTTCCCGACGTACACACGGATGACGGGTGGGATCAGGAAGATAACTTCATCAACTAGATAGACTTGCAAGACCAGGATATTCATAACATGGTGCACGACATTCTAGGCATAAGCAAGAAGGTAAAGGAGCACTTGGTAGAAAAGCCGGCAGAAGAGACACAGGACAAAGAATATTGGTCCAAGTTCGTCCCTCCAGAATTTCATCAATTTGGAGATGTGTTCTTGAAGAAGAGCTTGGAAAGAATGCCGACGCGTAAGCCCTATGATCACGCAATTGATCTTGTCCCAGACGCGGCAACCCCGAGACCGGCACAAGTATACCCTATGTCTTTACGAGAGAAGAACTCCCTCGACGAATGGATTGATGGCGAACAAGCCAAAGGCTACATTCGACCATTTAAATCCCCTTACGCCGCCCCAGTATTTTTCGTCAAAAAGAAGGATGGCTCTCTTAGACTAGTCCAAGACTACAGGGCGTTAAACAGTGTCACCAAGAAGAACAAATTCCCACTCCCCTGAATCAATGATCTTATTGACGGACTCTCAAGGGCTAGTATATTTACGACACTAGACCTGAGATGGGGATACAACAATGTACGCCTTCACAAGGGAGATGAGGAAAAAGCAGCATTCATTACCCATAGAGGGTTATTTGAACCCACTGTAATGTACTTCAGATTCTGTAATGCTCCTAGCACTTTCCAGGCCATGATGAACGACGTTCTAGGCGATCTCATTCGCACTGGAAAGGTGGCAGTCTATATAGATGACATCATCATCTTCACGAATAACCAGGAAGAACACGACCATCTGACCAAAGAGGTTCTACAACGGCTCAGAGATAACGACCTATTCGTGAAACCAGAAAAGTGTCACTTTGCGACCACTTTTGTCAAGTTTCTCGGACTCATAATCTCAAAAGGGTCGATACAAATGGACTCAGAGAAGGTCGACAGTGTGCTCAAATGGCCGATGCCCACCAAGGTAAAGCAAGTACAAGCATTCCTTGGTCTGGCAAATTTCTACCGACAATTCATCAAGGATTTCGGATCGATGACCCGACCCTTGACTCTATTAACATGTAAGGATGCACCATGGAAATGGGAAGACCCTCAACAAAAGGCATTCGAGGCCCTCAAAACTGCATTTACTTCCGCCCCAATCCTGGCACTCCCCAACGCAATCCATCCCTTTAGACTAGAAACAGATGCCTCGGACTTTGCTACAGGCACGGTCCTTGAACAGTTGGGAGAAGATGACCTCTGGCATCCTGTCGCTTATTACTCCAAGTCACTCAATGAACACGAGCGCAACTATGAGATCTATGACAAGGAAATGCTAGCTATCATTCAGGCATTGGAAGAATATAGGCAATACTTTGAAGGACACCCGCACCCGGTTGAGATATGGTCGGATCACCTTAATCTTACCTATTTCTGACAAGCTCAGACACTGACCAGACGACAAGCTCGATGGTCACTTTACCTTACAAGATTTAACTTTATTCTCCATCACTGCCCCGGAAAGACGATGATGCGTGCTGACCCTCTGTCCAGGAGGCCAGATCATGAGAAGGGGGTGAGCAATGACAATTCAGGGCAAACTTTGCTTCGACCCGAATACTTTGCCATCCATGCGCTCTCAGCCACTCATTCCTCCGAAGTTGACGATGCAAGACTTCTAGAAAGAGTGAAATCAGCACTACAAGACGACGAAATGACCAAAGGTTACCAGCACCTACTAAAAACTGGCAAGCGAGAGTTCAGAAAAGACCTCCAAGAGTGGAACTTCAAGCATGGATTGCTGCTCAGAAGAGGAAAGGTCTACATTCCAAAGGACTCTACGCTGCGGAATGAGCTAATCAAGCTACACCATGACATCTCCACGGCTGAACACCCTGGATGATGGAAGATGCAAGAACTGATTAGCAGGAATTATTGGTGGCCAGGGCTCACCATTGATGTTAAGAAGTACGTCCAAGGCTGCGTAACCTGTCAAAGAAACAAGATGAGCAAGCAGAAGCCTTACGGACTACTTCAACCTAACCCAGTACCAGAAGGGCCTTAGGAAATGGTTACATGCGACCTGATTACGCAGTTACCGACAAGCCCAGACCATAGGGAAGAAAAGAAGACCGCCATTTTGGTAGTCGTCGACAGGTTCACCAAACACGCTCACTTCTACCCAGTAGACGACATGGTGACAGCATCTCAAGTAGCGTCGATTTTCTACACTGAAGTATTCAAACTCCACGGAATTCCCCGGCAGATCATATCTGATCGAGGCACACAGTTCTCAGCCAAGCTATTCCAGGAGTTCTGCCAGAAACTTCATATCAAATCTACGATGTCTACAGCTTATCACCCCGAAACAGATGGACAGACCGAACGAGTCAACCAAATTCTGGAGCAATATCTGCGCATGTATTGCAATTACCGACAAACTGATTGGGCCACACTATTGCCCACAGCAGAATTCGCATACAATAACCAAGCTTCTGAATCGACAGGCCTGTCCCCATTTTTCATTGAGCATGGTCGACACCCGCGAATGGCACCAGACGTACTGGAAGGAATACAACATCCATCCCTGGAACACCTATTCCACAACCGCGATCAAGCACAGGAACAAGCTCGGGCCGCCTTATTGTTAGCAGCAGAAAAGATGAAATGGTACTTCGACCTTAAAAAGCAGGATGTCCCTTTCAAAGTAGGAGATGAAGTGCTTATTCGAGGAAAAGATCTTCACGTCAAAGTCAAAAGCCAAAAGCTAGCGACTCAAAACTATGGACCATTCAAAATCCTCGAAAAGATTGGAGCCGTATCATTCAAACTGCAACTACCAGCGGACATGAAGATACATCCCGTGTTTCACGCTTCTAAGCTTATAATGTTCCATCAAGACTCTATTCCGGGATGCGTACCTCCCCCTAACCCTCCAGTCATCATTGACGGAGAGGAAGAATGGGACGTAGAAGACATCCTGGATTCAAAAGTCAGGTATAACAAAACCCAGTATCTCGTGAAATGGTTGGACTACGACCACAGCGATAATACTTGGGAACCATTAGAAAACCTCACAAACGTTAAAGACAAAGTAGAGGAATTCCACAAGACACACCTAGACGCTCCAAGAGCAAAGCCGCGAACACGCAAAGCGCACAAAATCGCTCTGTCTGATCACCCTGATGAATTCATGTTCTTCTTCTGCACCCATCCAAATGCCAGAGCACCCTACAAGGGTTCTGCAGAAGCTGTTGGCTGGGATGTCAAGTCCATACAAGACATAGATATCCCCCCACACTCCCGAATGCTCATTGGCACTGGACTTGCGGTTGATCCCCCAAAGTGGACATACATTCGAGTGGCCCCCCGAAGTGGGCTAGCCCTCAAAGGAATCGATGTCACAGCAGGGGTAATTGACCCAGATTACACAGGAGAAATCAAGGTGCTTCTCGTTAATATGACCAGCAAACCATTCGAGGTCAGAACAGGCGATCGTGTCGCACAACTCATATGTGAACATTATGCTCCAGGAATCATTTCTGAAGCAGATAGTTCACTCATAAAGCGAACCATACGAGGCGCCAAAGGCTTTGGCTCATCGGGACGATGAACCTTGAGAAGGGGGTGATGTCACGGTTTTACCTGACGAAGTCATTATAGGAACAAATGCTATTAAGGAGCATATCATTTTTTCATCATTTCTCGTCGCACAAGAAGTCACGT